TGAATTAATGTTACCTTGAAAGTTAGGGACTCAATTTTATATAAAATAATTTTTGACAACCCCGACTTCTTTTCTCCTCTCGATGTGCTTTCTGGGATCATTGACATAGAATAGAATAATGATAAGCACGAATAAATAAGAACTAAAATATATATACAGTATTTTACCTACATTTAATTAAAAAATAAATTTTTATTGCAATTGTTCCACGTATTTTAACAATGTAGTAAATTTAGAAACTTCTGAAAGAACTTTTAAAAAGCATTTTATTTGTTATTTTAATTTTAGGTAGCAAATAAATATTTTAAGCATATCTTTTTAAGTTAAGATTAATGAATATTGTATGTATATTGTTTATTCCATTGTAATTCACGAATGTTGATTCCACGCGCTATAACGATAACCGCTTAATAAAACCGTTTTAAATTCTTTGTTACAACTTACTATGAAATAAATAAGGCACAATATTCATCATATTTGAATTTATATATGTATTATTATATTTAATTTAATTTTAACACTTACCGAAATCAATAGACGTCTGTACCGAAAGCCGCCCGAACTTTATTCATACATCACAAACAAAAAGTCTTCACAGCTCATATAAAAAACTGCATTAATTAGACCGACAACATGTTAAAACTCCACGTGGGTTAATATTACCATACATAATATTATTAATTGAACAGTTTTATTTAATTAATCTGGGAGGCTGTTGTTGTGAGGAAGGACATTCAGCGTCTGAATCTAAGAGGGCTTGTTTGTTGTTGGTTCCACGCATGCGCTTTAAATGTATACTCTCCAGCCACAAGCCACAGTCTAGTAAATGTTAGAAGAATATTTAGTAGCTTTTTTTTAAACTGTATCTGTGTTATCTAGTCTATTGAGACGGTTCTAATGTATGAAACTTTAATTGTATATATATAATCCTTTGTAATTTCCGATGAACACAATGTTTAATTCTCACGCGAATTTCTATCAGGCGGTATTAGATGCTTGGATTGCTTTATTTATTACTATGTATATAATGTTTGATTGAAGTCTTTTTTAAACCTTAAATATATTATCTTGTTTATGAAGATTAATGTAAGTACGTTTTAACATGATAAAATGTAAACTATTATAAAAAATTGTAAGAAGAAAATATGTAATATAATCGTATAAAATTATTGTATGTCAAATCAAATGAGTATTTAATATTTTTTAATTGAAAACGTGAGGATTACAAATATTATTAAAAATATATTGGATATGTTTACATGTACCTTAATTTCCTTTCTCCTTTGTCATACTAAAATGTGTTATAAATTTTATATAAAACCCTTTATATATAGCACTATGTATTCAATTTAGAGTGTACACATACTTACATATTATACAATGAATTATCATAAATTCATCATTTTTACAAGTCTAGTACATTGTACTAACAATAAAAAGCGCTATAAAAATTACCGCAATTTTGACAAAATGCACTAAAACCTGATCTATCGTTGCCCTAAGATAAGGGCATTGCCTGTCTAGTCATTTGTAATAATGCACCAAAGGGTTTACAACCTCTGCAACAAGGGCCACCCTGCTGCGGCAATTTACTACCTACCTTCATTGATGGACTTCTTCATTGATTTCACAGTGGAAATGCGCTCACGTTGACTGAATAATTTATTTCTGAGAAGGATTTCATTGCGATATAATATAATGCAATCCTTTAAAGATTCAGTATCTAAGAACTTTAATATTATATGTTTTTTTCACTATATATTTAATAAATTAAACTGTTTATTCTAGATGATAAAGGCTTTTATTTCAAATTTCTTATTCGTTAACCTTGTTTTTTATTTATCTGTCCTATTTTTTACGTGTATCATTTGATTCCCAATAAGATTTTTTCAACAAAGTCATCTCATTTAGATAAAATTTAGTCATATAAAGTTTCAATTCTTTTTCTTGTACCTATGACCCGAATAGAACTTTATTAAGCCAGTCTAATTCCAGCTCATTCCACTTATCGTGCGGAAACAAGCAGTTACACGTGTACAGTAAATTGACGTTGGTATGTGAATTTATATTCTGCAGGAACAGATTGCTCTGCGGAAATTACTGTTGCATATATGAGAAAATGTCTTTTAGTTGCTTGTCAGATACAGTTTTCTATTATCATTCATAAGCTGTAATAGATGTGGTGGTGGCACTTCACTTGGCGTTGCGTATTTGCCGCATTTGTATAAATATTTGTACAAATATGTCAAATACAACATCCACACTTGGCATGCCAACAACACTTCTTTAATCGTTTTCGCTAATTGTATATGTGTGTTATTTGTGCAAATATGTCAAATGAAAACGAATAAATCCTCTACACATGGTCTTATTTTGCCGAACACAACAAATAAACTTTAATGTTAATATTTAGATTTTTTTTTGCCGCGTAGCACAGTTGGCGCTACGCCAGCCTCGGGTCGTTGACCTCACGTAGCATCCAAAACAATGCCTGCTACGGTGCGTGATACGTTAATTGAATTCGAAATGCAATAAATATTTGAAAGTTATAAAATTATTTGAATGTAGGTAAATCCTATATATAAAAGGTACGTAAGAAAGAACTTTGTTTTTTATTACTTTAATAGATTTTTTCTTTTACGTGTTAGTTAAATATAGTTTGGCTATGAAAGATATAAATAAAAAAAATCATTTGCTCATTGCATTTTTTATAAACCGTTTTGTGAATTTTACATTCTAATCTATTATGATTCTAATTTATTTACAAGGATTGACGTGGTCGAATTTGTATGGTCATTATTGCTTTTGGTTACACAAAAAAAAAACAATTAAAATATGAAATTTAAAAAAAGTCTCACAAAAATCTAATAAAAAATATTCTACCTCATAAATGAATTTAACTATTCAATAAACTTAACGTAAATGTATGTAATATTTATTATATTAATGTCAAACGTGTTTATATCAAACGAAATCAGTTAAGTGAGGGTCTGGTTCCGGCTGGTGTGACTCGCGTCTATTGATCCGCGCCGACACAACGATGCACGAATATATAGATCATGGATGCGGCATTATTAATTACATATACAAAGTAACAGTTCGTCTGTAACACTATAACTCAAAAACTTTTGGTTATAACTAACTCTTCTTAGATTCTAGTTATACTACATGAATTTGTGAATAAACATTGACATCCGAATATACCTACATATATCATTAAAACGTATTTGGAATTAATAATAATTATATATAGTTGATCTATAATTATATATTTATTTCTCACATTAAAGATCTGTTTGTTAAACAGTTTCACGGTACCATTGGTGAATTCAATAATATATGTGAAAGCGACTTTGCCGTGCTATTTGTAGCCACAAGCTCAATATTTGATTCAAATCGTATTATAGGTTTTTCTGTTATATTCCAGTTAAAAGATAGTACTTTTGCTCTACATGCATGAATTTAAAATTTTTATTATTTTTCAAATGGATTTTAAAAAATATTTGATACTTTGCCAATGAAAGACTAGAAATATCAGTTGTATTAAACAAACCAATATTATTCCTAAAGGTTATACACCAAGCATTTATTTTGTTAGTTTAAGTAACCTTTAGAGCAAGACGCTAGCTATTGAAGAACTGAAAACTATTTCAAATATTGAACAAAAGCACTTTCAAGTAAACGAAATTAACCTCTTCGATTACGACGCTTTTTTCTTCTTCTTCCTGGCAACCTTCCAGCTTTAGCCAGGGTCTGACTAATAATTCCTGTCAGGGAATACGACACTTTTTTATTATTCTATAACTTCATAATCCTGATGTTTCGGTTCTTTTACAGCAACCGTGATCACGGGTTGACGAAATAAAACGTACCCCCAACTCCAAAGCAATAAACTGTAATATAAAAAAAATAACATTTGCAACACACATTTCAGAAAGAGTCATATATAAACACAGCCTTATATTTGAATATCGTCCAGTTTGTAACAATATTTGATGGAAGTAACCATTGTCATTTGTATAAGGATTATTACAAATGACACACACTCACGGACAAGTTGAAAGTGCAAACAAAACCGATACGTTACCAAACACTACGGAATTGATTTCACATTATAAAAATCTCAATAAAGCATTCCAAGTAAATATGAGCATTTCAATACATGTTAAAGTACATATTTTATTTCAATGAGCGTACTGTTTTAATATCTTTTAAACAAGTAATTTAGTACTTATTTATGGAATACAATATAACGAAACAAACGTTTATACACTTATTATTATTACTCAGGTGCTCAAGAAAATTCAATAAAATATTAATAATATGTGCTATATTTGTCAAGATAACGTAATTCGAGATTCTATGGAGACAAAAAATGTCTTTTAATGAACACGATATTACTTCTTCAATGTTGGCTCTGTAATTACTATGTATTTTCCAAATGTGAGTGACTTTTGTCAGACATCATTACAAGATTACAGTACGAGGATTTTACGAGATGTAGTTTGGGAAAAAACACCAAATACATAATTCGATAGTTCACAGAAACACGGAATATATTATTCAAATATATTTTCTGTCTATAGAATATTGAAAAGAACGTCAAGTTACAATTTGATTTATTTATTTTTCTGTTTTTTGTGTTCAACTTATATAAAATATTCCTAATCTAGATATTTTCCTTAATGCTACTTCAAGTCATTTATAATGATATTATGATATGTATATAGGCAACGAGTTTCAACACTAAAAAGGATAGACAGGTTAACTTCATAGAAGTTGGAGTAAATTATTTGTTCTATGACACTAATGTATTTACACTGATTTCCAAGTTTACTTATACCTTTTTTGGTAAGGTCCCACCCAATTCGATAAACTCATTATCAACTACACCTTTGTCTTTTCTAAGTATGAGCTCATTTGAGAATTACATCCAGTAATGTAATGATAGTATTATAGACTGTCCAAAAAGATTTTATCATGTAAATGTGATCACAGTCATGTTTAAATCTGGTGTTCTGACCTTTTTGATAGTTTTTACAGTTTCAATATTCGCTGCGAAGAATGTAAATGGGTAAAATTGCATATTGATTAAGAAGAATTTCATTAAAGGCTTTGTTCCATAATTAATTGGTTGATTTTCAACTATTCCAGATCTCAGCCAGTATTACAAAAGACAATCGAGGAGCTGTTTACTGACCGGGCTGATGTCATTTATCCTGGTTCCTGTAAGACGTTTAGATCATCAGCCCGACAGTCAAAAATGTGCAAGAAAGAACCAGGTCTTTCAAATATTATTCTCACGGCCAAGCAACAGGCAATCACGGCTTGTGAAGATACATTTCAATATGATAGATGGAATTGTTCGCTTGTTTTCAATAAACGACCGAAAAAAAGTATTTTCAAGAAAATATATAGAGAGACTGCGTTCGTCCATGCTTTGATTGCAGCATCTATAGCTCATGCTGTTGCAAGAGGTTGTGCTTCTGGCAATCTATCCAGGTGTGCATGTTTTGGAAGCTTCAAAAATACGTCATGGCATGTTCGCGGCTGTGGAGACGATTTTAAATTTGGAAAAAGATTTACAAAAAACTTTCTAGAATGGAAACAGGCAGGGTCTGATCAGATAGCTGAAATCATTAAACAAGATGTAATAGTTGGTATTGACTCTGTGGGCGAACAGATGAAAGAAATTTGTAAATGTCACGGATTTTCTGGATCGTGCACCACTAAGACTTGTTGGAAGCGACTGGGGCCGTTCAATTCAGCTATGGGATTATTGAAGAAACATTACCACCATGCGGTGAAAAGAAAATTGGTGAACTTTACAACGAAGAGAGCAGTTACTCCGAAAGCGAGGAAAAGAATGCAACTTGACAAGAACAATTTGATTTACTTACAGAAGACTCCGAATTTATGTTTCAGTACCAAGGGAAGAATATGTAAAGATATTCATAATTGTGCTACTTTGTGTTGTGGAAGAGGTTACGTTACAGGCAAGAAGATAGTTAAATCCAGATGCAAATGTAAAATGGTGGACTGTTGTTTCGTTAAATGCGATACTTGTGTTGAAACAGTGGACTTGTTTACTTGCAAGTGAGTAAGTAAACAAGTAATTAGATTGTAAACATTTATGGGAAATGTTGTAGAATATATTGTGTATGTCAAATATTTTATAATTATAATTAAAATGGTTTTGTATAGATAGATATATGTAAGTTATGGAAGTTGATATTACGCTGTGATAGCCATTACGGTAGAACGAGTTGTAAGTGGATGGTTTATGAAGTAGAATGGTATCGGAGGGTGCAATCTTTGATTTGGAGACGTGATTTAAGTAAGAGATTTGAGTTTTAAAATATTTTTATAAGCAAATAAATATTTAATATAAAAAGTCTATATTTTTAATAAACATAAAAAATCACAACCAATACAAAAAAACTGTTGAAAAAAAGATCTGGATATAGAATATTTAAGTATCTACCACATCATATATGTATTTTAAGTCACTTATCTTTTAAAAAATCCTAAAGTCACTGCTCGAAAAACACAAATATTTTTTAAGTATGAATCACATAGCAACCTTAACTCGTTTAGTTAATATAAATGGAAAATATCTGATATAAAGCATTAATCCTCACATTCAATCTTGTTGATAATCTTCGGCAAGGGCCAAGGCCATTCCCTCCATCTTCGACAAAGCGAAATATAGGTTCATCTGTACTTCCTACAGGGCTAAAAAAGAATAATAGTTCTGTCTTGAATTAGTATAAGATATAACTTTTCTTAGCTTATAGTTTTGTTTTTATTTTCTTGGTTATACTAAAAAAATATTTTGATTACTCCGTACTAGAGTTAGCTTTTGCCTATCTTTTAAATATTTAAACAATTAAAAAAAACAGATAAAATCATAATAATCATAAGCAGAACAGTATTCCGACTTCTTATTTTATTGATATCATATAGATTGAATTTTCTTTGTTTCTTTATTCTTTATTTAGGACTTTTCAGAGCTGTAATTATATATTTGAAATTCAATGCTTAATATTTATCGTTTTGCCAGATATCATAATAATTAATAAGACTGGCGAGTTAATAACTAATCTTGTCAGCTTTTGTTTTAAAAAGTTTATTTTCATTCATATTCATTTAAAATTGTAATATTCAGACTTTTCTAAGATAAGTATAAAAAAGAAATGGTTTTATTAAAAAAGTTTATTGAATGTAATATCTGTTAAAAGAAAATATTAAAAATATTACATTTTTTTCTTTTTTTAGTTTGTTACAATTTTATACAAAAACCTAACCTATGAAAAAATCCTAAACCTACCATCATTAAGAAAAATCTTTTATAAACATCAAAGGATTTTATTACCTTTTTTTTATTACAGATTTTTATTACAGATCCAAAATAAATTAATACAATATAAAACAAAGAACAAAAATTTTGCTTTTTGAATTCATTATTTTGCGTGTACTATAAAAACAATTGACAATGTGTAAAAATGTTATGTCATATAATTTGAATTGTGATATGTCATAAAGGCTGCTGTGATTTATGTGGAAACTATACTCAGTTTATGCAAACTGTTACAGGTAAGTCACAATACTAGTTTGGAGTAATTATTAAGTGTGATTTAGAAGGTGAATTTTTCGAAGTACACTTACCTTTTAGAAGCTATTAAGGCAGCGAAAACTTTCTATTAACGTAAAATGAGAACATTTCATCAAACTTTAAACCTTTAGTAAGTTTAATCAAACCGAAACTATTCGAAAGAAACCGCGGAGCACTTTAAGTTTCATATAAGCCTACATCTTGTATTTCAAATTTGATAAAGCCTTATTCATGATTAAAATATTTGTTATAATATTTCTATGTTTATTCTACCGTCAGTTAGAAATTATATTACCTGATTCACATTAAAACTCAATAACCATAATAAAAACTTTGCAGAAAAATTATGAATTACCTTTTACCTACTACCTATTACATTTTACCCCAAAAAACATTTCAATTTAAAGCCTTGAGGGAATTTGTCTAAACATATATTTTTAATTGACTATTTGGATTGTCTTTACATATTATACGATATGTTGCAGGCCAACCTTTAATTAAAGTTTTACTCAAGTCTAAATAATATTCGAGTACACATGCCGTAATTTAAAAAAGAGCCATTCAATAAGAGGTACAAAATATATTGAAGTAAATTAATATCTTTAATTTCTAAAATAGACATCTTTTGAAAAATATCAAAACGATGTCATTTTGGTAGGATCGTATATAAAAACTGTCACCTGGTGTAATCAGCTTGCTAAAGATGTCGCTGCAAAACAGTATTCACCGTAGACGTCGCTAAAATCATTTCATAGATGGCGCTATTAACAATAAATTTAAATAAAAATGACCAACCTGAGCATAAAACATTTCAAAACCGTTGAAGTCAATACCTATTATCTTCAAGCTCAGATTCCTGGTACCCAGTCGAGATTAATGCGATTCTCATATTTTGCAACGCGCGAATGAAGACGCATGCGCGATAAGATCGATTTAATACGCGGCGATCGAGAAACTTTATATGCGTGGAAAACACAAATTGAGTGCATATTACCGTTTAATAAACCTTTATCGAGTATGTTAATCGTGTTTTATTTTTTCTTCAATATACAAGCTGTTCCTTAAATATGAACAGTTTAAAGTGTTGCCATTATTATTAAAACCACAAACATTATTCAAATGATAGCTCAAAAGGTTAAGATTAAGCAAAATTCAACACGAGATCCGGATTTTAATAACATACCTTCCAAAACCACTAATGAATATTGTGTACTAGCCTAAAGATCCTAAAGATGGGTCTACATTGTAATTATGACGCCTATAATTGACCCATAAACCATTAAAGGCCACAAAATTGCGGTTTGTTTTCGATGCCAACGCACGTAATTACGATAGCGCTATTAAAGTAAAAAAAAAACGGCAGCTTACAGATTTATTTATTTATTGACCTCAACACGAAATGAATTACCATTGTAACTAGAACGTGCCAGTCTAAAGAATAATATTTTTTTCATAAAGTGATTAAATAGTGATGTTATTATATTGGTTTATATTTAATAAATTTGTATTTTATTTATAAATTATTTTTCTTACGATTATTCACTTCTTAAGTATTCAACTTTTAAATACTACATTATTTATTAAAATCATAAGAAAACATAGCTTACGTTCGAGTTTCTATAGTAATGTAGATTGGTAATCGGTACAAAGCCAATAAAAATTATGTTACGTCGACCAATTACAGTATATTAAACAAAGCTTTTATTGCCTAATGTTTTATGGAAATAAGACAATTTATTTAATAACCAATCATCAATATGTATTCCATTAAAATTAGTATAAATAATGATATTATGGTTAATTTATCAATATAAAATTTCAGAAAAGTTCGAAAGAGATTTCGAGCTCTAAAAAGCGATTTATAGAATTTAAAATAGTGTTTATAGATTGTTAGCAATTAGCATGCAAATTATTATAAAATTAAAAAAAAACACCAAATTTTTGACTGCACACTCATAAGATTGAACTTAGACACAAGGGTAAATGTTTAAAGTATGCTAAAACAATAGATAGTTTACGTAACTAAAAAGTAGCGACATTGTAATTTGAGCCCGCGGGACCTGTATGGCATTTGGAAATAAATTACAGGCTGCGTTGTAGTCTGATGTCTAAGCTACATTAATGTATAGTTTCATCAAAATAAGTCCGGCAGTTTTTGTATAAAAGGAAAACAAATATCTATAAAACTACACATTTCTACACACACACATATATAAACACACACATATATATGTTTACAATCTTTCTCTTTTATTATGTTTGTAAAATTAATATATTCAGTATAATTAAAACACCAATAGATTTCATTTTATTATAAAAGCTCTTGAAAATAAACACAATTTATATATAGTGTAAAAAATAAAAACAGAAACTTTTTTGTGCCACGTTTGAGCTACCCAACTTCCATTTAAAAAGTAAAAAATAAAAAAAAGTACGTATTGCTTCATAAAAACAAAGTGCCACCCACAAATCCATTATCCCCTTTAAATATAAGAAATTCAGCGCAATTGATACTTCTACTTAGGATATTTAGTGATTTTTGTATGAGGATTAAGAGAAATGACCATTCGAAGTATTTAAAACGACAATGAGTTAACAGCTCACTTAACAGCTATAGGTAATTAGGATCACACATTTCTTTTTCGGTAGTTGAGATTAATGTATTAGAAAGTCATTGGATCGTAAAATTAACAAATATATTTGTATTTGTTGCATTTATATAACATTTAAGATGTACTTAGCTGGTTTTTTGAATCTAGAAGGGTTTGTATGAAGTGTACCTGAGATCACTTCAAACTTTCTGTCCTTGTAAAATTGTTGTTGTTTAAACTCGCAGTGTTTTTAACTTCACGTCTATGTTGAAGTAATGAACGATTACATATTCTTTATAATACATCAAGACGATGGTTTAGAGAAGGATATCTTCATTTTAAAGGAATCCTAACATATATAAATATTTATATTGTATATCTAATATCTATTCTAAATTATGGTTAATTTATACTAAACCCATATCCAATTTCTTTTCCAAAAAAATAATAATAAGGAAAATATCAATACAACTATTTTATAGTGTTATAAAAGTAACGAAACTGATATGATCATTCACCACCGAAGCGAATCTACCGATTATCTGTAAAACGTCTTAACTGAAATTCTTCACAAATGCCTACATACTTACCTGTCCCTTGAATGGATGTCCATAATCTCTTAACAATGGTGTTAGGATATAGTTAGTTTGTGATGGATTTTACAGTTACGTATTTCTTTTCTTGGCCCGTGGTGCGTGAGATCTATTACAGAGCATTTGCAATTAATGGATGTTTCCTTCTTAAGATACTTCTGATATACTTTAAAAAGAATTGATGTAATTATCCAAAATAAATATGACATTGTCAACAAAAAAAATAAATGAAGTTGATATTATTTAGACCAAAAGTATATTCAGTGAAAATAGTAAAATGCCCAATTGCGCAAATGTGAAC